AATATCGCGATGCAGGTGTGTTCTTTTTCTTCATATACAGGTGCTGGACGACTCTGCTGTCTCGTCTCTACAATTAAATTCACGGGACCACAGTAAGAATTCGCTATAAAAACACAAATTTCATTGTATATAGAAATCTTTTTCAGGTGGACTCTATGCACAACATAACTCGAGGGACCAGAAAAAATTTTCGTTTAGACAGATTTTCGTTGTAGGCAACATGTACAGCATGGGGAGAGAACCCTATGCAACCAAAGAAAAACATTTCAGATACAGAGAAAACTGTTGGAGACATGATTGTTGTAAAAAAAGAGCTCTCTTGTAATATGGGTATAGGATAAAGCTACTATAGAAACCCTTGTGGGACCAAAAAAAATTTTGACTGCTCTATACTGTACAGAGATAATCACTGTAGGTATAGGATTATTGTAAATATACAGCCCACCTGTACCACCATGACAGGATACCTTTCAAAAATATATGCACATGGACTCTCTTATTTGAATACAGCAAAATTTAAGGTACTTCCAGAAAACAAATTCTATAAAGCTCCTTTTTGGTGGAGAACTCATCATTCTACAACATGGGGAGGGAATGGTTAAACAAACTATATATTGGAACTCTTCATTATTCATAGATTTCATTTATACCTTCAGGAGGTTTTCTATAGTCTCATGTAAAAGTCATTAAGAAAATAATTATGCATTTGTTTTCTTGGTTTCACTGGACAGGCTTTCTATATTTTTAGCTTACTTTTATTTACTAAAAGGCATTTCGAATAAGAGGGATTTGACATAAAACGGCCCAGGCTATGCATTACAGTCAACCCCCGTCTAACAGACTTGATTCGTGCAAGGGACGAGTCTGTTAGACAAAAAGTCCTTTACACGAATTCAATTACAGTACTGTACATAAAAAATTAAAAATTTCAATTTTCAACACTAATTTTAAACCAAGAGAAGTCTGTTCGGTGGATTTTGTCTGTTGGGTGGGAGGAAAAACTGCTTGCAGAGCTGGTCTGTTTGGCAAAAATCCCTTACACGGGAGGTCTGTTAGGCGGGGGGCCACTGTATATATGGAGGTTCAAAATGCATTGGTTTAGGGAAATTGGCCAGGGATTCATGATAAACTTGACCTGGGAGGTTTTTGGCACATACGAGTATATACTCTGGAGACTTGACTTATGCAATTTAAGGTCCAATGCATACGCAAAATTATCAATATATATCAATATATCTCCTGCAAGAATGACCAATAAAGTCTCCATAAAACGGTTGACCCCAACGCCGAATAGGAGTGTTGGCGGGGCAAACATTGTTTTAGAGAATTTTGTTATTGTTATTGGATCATACGTTTTTAGAATGAAGTCAGCCTTGCACGCAAGCTGGTTCAATATGACGCCTTTGTATATAATGAAGCTTTGCTTCAAATCCCTGAATGATGGCATGTACTGTATTCCATGAAGCGTTGATCATCAGCAGCAGACAGAACAAGCATTTCCTGCAGATAAGTTCCTGTCTCCATAGGCTGGAAATGAATATTCAACTCTAATCCATTAACCTTCAGGAAAATCCAGGAAGAAGAGCGCTCACAAAAAGTCATCCATGTATAACCTCCACCCATGTGAATCTTCATATGTAGGATTTCTTTGATATTAAAAAAATCCCAGATTAAAATAATGAAAATTATTACAATTTTTGTCACTGTTTAAGAAACTGAATGCGTTAAAATTTTAGACACATTCTCTATTCATCAGTGATCTGCAACCTATGGTCCACAGCAGAATTTTTTTACCAGTCTGCCAGCAGAAATTTCCTTTGGCATAAGAAACTTATCAATTTTTTTCTATTGTATAAAGCTGTCTGTTATCTTCATCTGAAAATTTTGAACCTTTTATTGTGAAAATTTAGTAAAAAAAACAAATGAAGCAGCTACACTAGTGGAATGTTGTCAAAAAATTGGAAAACTGGGCTTCAATTGAATGAAGATAAGTTTCTATAGCTCATGCAGAATAAATACATGTACTGTACTTGCAATAATGCAGTATTCCAGCAGGTGAAAATCTGTCTGAAGTGTATAGGAGAAAAGCCAACTTTTTTTTTCTTCAGATAATTTCAAATGCACTAGGACCTTCACTTGGAATACTTTTCATCTTCTGCTTTGAATGAATACTACTGCATACTTTTCTGCATGATACAGCACCTACATAAATACGGCAAACTTTGCATGATCATGCTGGTGACTGCTGATTCTCAATTGTTAATGAACCAAACAGGTGAGAGTATTAGACAAAATCAAACTAATTATTGTTGCTGATTCTGGCTGCGGAAATGCAAATTGTTTGATCGCCCATTTTGAATGCCTGTCTCATCTGCCTGCATGTACTGCGACCAGTAGCTCCATCTGTATACGTATTGCAGGTCTTGCAATGCAAGGGGAAAACCTGGGGGCGCACCAGCATGGCGAACCATCCAGCATAATTATATTGAGCTAATTCACTTGTTGGATTTTTTTTAAAATTCATAACCGTAAAAAACTGTCTTGTATCAAAGCAACCAAAATCGTGTTCCTTGTCCTTTGTTCTCATTACGGTCACTGACAACGGAGTGAGCTAATGTGACACATGAGTGCATGAGTAGTCACACGCATCCATAAGCAGCTTTAGCGAACGAGGGTGCGTGTAAGAAAAGTCTTTTGGAGTGTGGACAGGTGTCACGCATTTCCGGTACAATAACTGGCGCGTTTGTTCTTATTAATTCATTCTATTTATGACGACTTCAAACATATTTCGAGATGCAATTCTTCGCCATTATTCGATTGCTGACAGCGAGACTTGGGTGGTTTGACAGGCATCTAATGTTGCTTCAGTTATTATTAGATAGAACTCATAGAGCTGCACTTTCGCGGGCTGCCATTGGGTATGGTATCGCCATTTATCAAGAAAGAGGTCTCAGCAGAGCTAGATTACTTCCTCAATGAGATCAAAACTGAATAAAACACACAGTACAGTAATGTATTGTATTGTCGCCCTATGCTCACTTGCTCAGTTGATTGCGTTCAGAATTTCTAAAGAAGGGCATTCAGATTTTTTGCGACAAGAAAAAGTTGTTATACTGCATATGACGGCGCCTCACATTGTCCTGCGACTGCTTGGGCGGAGCACAGCTTGATCAGCCGAAGAGTTCACGGGTACCCATTCGATCAATTGTATACGAAGTTCATTGTCAATGAGAATGTGAAGCGAATTTTCGTTGTAACTGATCCCAGTAGTAAGTGTACAGGACTTATCTACATGCAAAGTACTGTAAGTCCCTCAAGCGGTGACCCTTGGTTCTTTAATATGGGCTACCTTTGTTCTGGAGCGAAGCTGCGCCGCCATGTTTCGTGTTGTTTTTGAATCGATGTGCCTGTCCTACTTTCCTGTGCTCATGAACGAGTTTCTATGAAGAGAGCGATTGTGATAAATGAACGCCGTTTGAATTCAAGTTCTGTTCGTGGAGATCTCAAGTCCTACGATCGATATGGAAAAATTTTTCGTGAACGAATGTGTGCGTATTTTCATACGAGTGATGCTAGTTTCGTTCATGTGCACGATTTCCTGGATTTTCATCGCTGGACTTGAGATGATCTTGTGTCGAGATCGTGGAAGAATTAAAAATGTAAACTCAGTGATCGTCGTGTGCGTGTTCAGTTTTTGTTTCTCAGAGAAACTTCCAAACCTCGCGATCTTAGAACTACTGTATTGTGATAATTCCGTTGATCAGACTGGAAGGAACTGAAATTTTTCGAGACTGCCTGCCTTTGTCATACGATCAAGCTGAACTTGCTTTCCAAATCCGTTGGAAATCAATCTCCAGCCACGAGATTTGAGTCCTACCATGCACCTCGAGACGCGTACAGCGTTATTATAGCGATGGCAGCGACTCGGAAACTCCAAGGTAAGCTCAGGATCGTTTGGATTCTTTTCAACCACACGTAATTAAATTTTTCGTGTCGCGTTTCGCAGGTGAAATCGATAGGTGCTTGAAGAAAGTAACCGAGGGCGTTGAAATATTCGAAGACATCTGGCAAAAGGTGCATAATGCGGCGAATGCGAATCAGAAGGAAAAATACGAAGCCGATCTCAAAAAAGAAATCAAGAAACTTCAACGACTACGGGATCAAATTAAATCGTGGCTTGCGTCCGGTGAAATCAAGGATAAGACCATCCTTCTAGATACTAGACGATTAATAGAAACGGTTAGCTGCTCCTGAAATATCGCTGTTCTCGTAGCTTATTTTTTACCGTTCCGTTTTTCATAGCAAATGGAGAGATTCAAGGTAGTGGAACGGGAGACGAAAACCAAAGCGTACTCAAAAGAAGGACTCGGAGCAGCGCAGAAACAGGATCCAGCCCAGAGAGAACGAGATGAAGCAAATAATTGGTTGTCGCAGTCTATAGAAAATCTCCAAATTCAAGTGGGTTGACAGAAGTTCCGTGACCGTATTTTTGCAAGTGATCTTGTCAAACTAAGTTGATCCTCAGTTGGAAGATAGCAGACGTGATTTTTTAATTCCCCGAGAATTTTTGTACCGTTCTGATCCTCCGAAAGAGTAAAAAGTTCTCAACGCGTTCCACGACCGTAATCCACCTTCTCATTTCTGACAGGCTGACCAGTTTGAAACTGAAATCGAAAACCTACAAATGTTCACCAAGAAGAAAAAGCTGGATAAGGACAAGCAAGAACGGATAGATCACCTGAAAGCGCTGCTGGACCGGCATCACCTGCACATAAAAAAGCTAGAGATGGTCATGAGGCTTCTAGACAACATGTCGATCGATGTTGATAGGGTAAAATTCTTGTGTTATGAAAGTGGCCGCGTATTTTCGTAGTGGAATGGTGAACTTAGGATTGTTTCTGCGCTAAGCGCATCAAAATCTTCCAAATGCTGAAATTGGCTTCTCTTTTCTCCCAGGTTAACAGCATAAAAGACGACGTAGACTATTACATCGAGTCTGCTTGGCAGGAGCCTGAATTCGACGGGAACCCCTACATCTACGACGAAATAAACTTTGACGTTCTCAACCAAAACCCTGTGCGAGAGGTGAGATTTATCCAGAAAATTAGGTCTCTCGAATGTTAATTTTTATTATCTTCGGAAAGTTATAGGACGTGATCTATTACCTTCTGTTTTTGTGATTGGGGCTTATCGTTCTGCTCGATTTTTTATAATTCTGTGGTTGCAGAATATTGTAATTTTTAACGTTTCTAGAACCATTTCTAGTGGTGAAGTGAAATCGTTACCGTTACGTTTTTTGGTGCATTATTCCCCTGAAAATACTCTGAAGTTGTTGAGTAAATTGGCAGAATATTTGTTCCTACCAGCGAAAAGTCCTAATTGTTATTCAAGGGTGTGTGTCTAAGCTCAAAAACCGCCGATTGCTAAAGTGGCTTCGTGCTTTTGCTGAACTGTGCGAGCTTATTTTTGCGTGTCGTCGTCAGGTGGGTATGAATGCAGCTGGACTGGATCCAGATATCGACGTGATCAGCGGGATCAACACAGGCTCAACACCGTCTGTGGTCTCCTCCTCTTCTCCTGTGCCGTCGCTCAGTGCTGTGGGCACTGCTTCGTCGTCCAATAGCCATCATTCCATGAATGAAGACATCGGTTCGCATTCGTCAGTGATGAACGACAAAACCCGGCACCGGTCTAGTGAATCAGAGGTAAGGACAAATTGAAAGTTGGGTCAGAATTGGTTCTTACAGAAAATCAGTATAGTTGAGCCTCGATCACTCGAACCACCCTTAGTCAATTTTTTTTAATTCCCTTTTGGAATTTTCAGAAGCAATGCATTAAAAATCTCTCTAACTGGAAGGATTTCTACGTGACTCGAATTATTTTGGAGGCCTTTTTGGCTATTATTTTATTGACACAGGGAAGAGATAAAGCCATACAAATTCAAATTGATATGTTCTGAAAGGAAACGAAAGATTAGTTGGGAAAATAAAGTAATAAACCCTTGCCTCTATGTTTAAAATCTTGTCAACTCATTCGAAAAGCACTTTAAGGGCCAGAATATCGCCAATTAAAATGTTCGTCTTCCTCTCCTCCAACAAAAAGTGCCCTGACTCGAATTTGTTTGCTGGTCTCCGCGAAGTTTGATTTAAAAGTGGTTCGACTTTTTTTTTTTTTTGTGGCTGTGCTTCAAATTTCACTTCAGGGTATTGAACAACTCGGAACCTTATGAACTTATTCGTTGTCGGAGTACATGCCTTGAATTGGCAAATTGTGAGGATTTTTAAAGTTTAATTTTGTGCGAATTGTGTGTCTTAACTTTTTTTCACGTTTCGTGCTCTCCACTTTTCGACCTTCTTAATGCCAAAAAATTGACTGTACATTAAAATAGAATCGAGGGTTTCAATTTTATTCCTGCAGTTTTGGTTATTGGACTTGATCCATTTGAGTGGGAAATATCTGAGTTGTGTGAAGATTCGGTGGATTCGTTATAGCTTCCTTCGTAAATTATTGAATAAAATTACTGAATGGAAATGTGCTTTACGGTAAATATTAAAGATAAGCTCTCCACTTCATGTGTTCAAAAGTTTCAGAATCCAGAAAGAAGATGCATTGGTATCACACTGGATTTTAGTTTGGAAAGATAATCGTTGACACGTTCTCGTTATGTAAATTCTTTTCATGTGCTCGGGGCATGCCTTTTATTCCTCCTGTTTAATTTTTTTGCGACAGACTTCAGGGAAAAGATTTGGGTCAACAGCAACAAGTTCAACGGGAAGCAATTCTCACGGGGTGAACAATAACACGTCACCCCTGGTATCCGCATCGGTCTCGCCGCCTCCGCAACAGCCAGTCCGTGTTGCATCGCCAACTCCTGTGCCGCCGTCTCCTGTGAAGGGGGCGCCTGTGCCTGCCGCCAACACAGCCATCGCGTCACCTGCGCCGCAGCAATCGTCCATCAGCTCCGCCACTCCCAACAACTCTTCTTCTTCGTCAGGCAAGTCTTTTCCTTTCTTCTCCCGGAATTAAAAATCAAGAAATCAGTTTGCTTTGGAATACCTAGGAAAATGTCCAGCTAAGTTTTTCGATTGACTTCTAAGCATGCTCGATAACGGGCTTTATTAAAGCTCTTTGAACTGAAGAGAAAACAGCAGCAGCTGGCCATAATTTGCATTGAAGTGTATCAGATGGACTGGAAAGCGTTTAAATTTTTAGTGGCAGTAACCCTTACGAAACATGCATTGCTATGAGCAGCTGCGACTGAAGAAGCCTGCTCAAATATTCTTTCGAGTTCAACTATCGTTGAAGCAATGTTGAGACCATCGTGTCACTTGGTAAAGAATTATTTTACTAAAATGAACTAATTTCCTTTTGTCTCTCGGTTTGCTCCTTGAATCATCAGTTCTCTGAATGAACGTCATTTCCTGCTTCGAATTTATCCTCCATGATTTGTTTAAAGTTTTTATAGAAAAATCACTTCAAGTGGTTGCTCACTTTTGGATGTCGAGGGATGTTTGGCATTTGAAATATTGAACGCGTAATGATTCAACTTCTTCGATACAGTATTTTAAAATACGCATGATATTTCTTTGAATGTGTGATTTTTTGGATTTTATCTGCGTTGCCGACGGTGGAATTTCGCACGTTTGTTTTGTGCTGGGCATTCTTATAGTTTTATTCCTTGTCGAGTGATTTTTGTATTTTCGGGGAGGGCAGTTTCTAAATGCATTATAGTATCGCGTTACTGACATGATTTATTTTTTGATGCAGGTGCAGCACCGACCACGAATGGGCCTACCTACGCGTCGCCATCGCCGCCGTCTTCGCCTGCCATGACGCCGTCGGCGGTGTCACAGCAACAGCGCTTTGCCCTTATGAATGGCCTGTCGTCGCCGTCACCGGCGACGAGTATGCCTAGCTCGTCGCTGTCGTTGCCTTCCTCGCCGCACGTAGTGCCGTCGTTATCTGCGATAGCCGGATCCGCCTCTGTTGGGTAAGTATTCCTGTCAATAGAGACGCTTCAAAAATTTGAAAAAGGTTCTCTTGGGGTTTTCAACAGTCTTGCTTGTGAAGACTTTATGAATGTAGTTTGGTTATTGAAGGAAACGTGTGTAATGTAGATGAGAATGTTATTCAGCTGGTGGATTTAGAACCTTTTCCGTTTCGTGATGTTGGTTACTATGGCCACGTACTTACACTTGAGCTATCACTTAACTATTGTAGTAAAATTAATGGACAAGGAACTTCTTGTGTTGGGAGTCCCTTCGGAAATTAATTGCCTGCTAGTATGAGTTGTCCTTTTCCATATTCTGTTCCTCCCAAATCAGAAAACTGATGCTCATGCATCAGGTACCAACTTAGTTGGCCCTGAATTGAGAATATTACGAAGTGTTTGCATTCTGCAAAACTTCATTTTAAAATGGTGCTTTTCTGACGCGACTGTGTGATAACATGCGTTTCGTGGAACAGTATTGGAGTCTTTGAGAAGTAAAATTACTCACATTACCGAAGCTTTGGAACTTGAGTTGGCGGATGAGTGCATGGAAGTACTGTACTCATTTTTCCGGCCGCTTTGAAAAAGAAGAACTGGGTATTTTGTGGGAACACCTTTCTTTAAATTTCTGGATGTCGAATGAGTAGTTGGGAATCTTTCGGCTGATTTTCGGAAGAAGAGCCAGGTCTCAGGTTTGTTCGGGCGTAATGTCATTTTTCAAACATCGTATATGTTGATACGGATATATTTTTGTTTCTTGTGTCACTCGTCGGACTTGCAGAAAAGGAGTACTGTCGTCGCATCCGGCGACAACGGCACCCACGTCAGTCATGAACAGTAGCGTCGTCCGGCAACTATTCCAGCAAACATCCGCCTCAACTGCCTCCACGACTTCGACAGTATCCTCTTCGGACTCGCGGACCGTCATCTCAGGTAAATGGACGAAATTGTATTTGCTGGTCCGACGTTGGACGAAGTGGACCAAATTATATAAAAGAAACTAAATGTATGTTTACAACATCGACGCAACTCCCGTGTGCAGAGCTTGCAAATAATCGAGACGAACTGGTGAATCTGGGTACGAATCTGATTTCCGACTTGAAGAACGCACGCTTGGAAACATCTGCAAGTTCTGTGCCTGTGGTGAGTAGAGCGCGTCACACTTCGAATTTGTTTCGTTATACAGTACAAGAGTGTTATTTAACTTGAACAACGTTGTCAAAAGGGGAAAAAGTGATCGGGTATCGGAAAGGATTTGTGCTCCATTTTTAATTCTCTGGTCAGAAAAACAGTATGATTTTGTGAGGTTTCCGCCATCCAATGATCAATCCGTTTCAATTTTGAATTTATTTTGCGCGATTTTCTCAATCTTTCTGCTGTCACTTTCGGCATTTCAGATTTGATTTTCTCTTGTGGTTCTTTTGCGATTGATGTTCTAAGCCGATCATATTTGAGTTTTCTTCCTGAGGCTAACGGGGAAGTTTTCCTGTTCTGTCATTTATTCTTGATTGTCGATCGAGGTGAAGATTCTTCCCAACCGATTTTTTGTTCCAGTGCCTGTGTGATATTTTTCATCCTGTAATGCCAATGAAATCGTTTTTTTTTTTATTTAGAAATCGGAAGTGGCTCCTTTGTTGGGTCTGGCGAAAGAAGCCGTGCTGAATGCTCAAAACTCGTCGTCGGAAGCCGAGAAGACGTCATCGTCGTCGACGACGAAGGCGGGTCTGTCGCAGCTGGATCTTATAGCTATGCTGGATAGCGTGCGGGCGAACTCGACAACGACGACGACGACTCGGTCTGGCACAGGATCCAACCCGTTTCAACTCCAGTCGTCATCGACGACGTCAAGCACGTCGAATCATCTGTCGCTCGGGGTGAACCTGGGTGGTGGCATTGATAAGGCGTCCATAGCAGCTTTCATGGCGGAGAACAAGTTGAACGCTCTGTCGAGTTCGACAGCTAGCTTGCATTCGCAAATCTCGACAACCAGTTTGCTAGGCTCGGTACGTCGGTGTCCATTTTCTTATCTTATTCCAACGGCTGTGTTTTGTCGGTGCAGTATTTTGGTTTCATACTACGAAAATGTCGTATTATGAAACGACATTATAATATGGACTCCTTGTCAGAGATTCACAAGTTTCAAGTACAGTGATGAATTTCTAAGAATTCGTGGAATACACAGCTATTTTGAAATTATTGGAAAGACAGGCGTTCAAAACGGTGAAACATTAAATATAGGTGAAAAGTTATTCGTTAACTTCTCAGGCAGACGTGTGACTCGGTATAAAAACTGCAGAGCTTATTTAAAACGACTTTTTATGATTATATATTTTGTCAGTCCTCCTTTATCTTGAGTGTAGCCCGTGCCCATTTATTTTTTGCGAAAGCACTCGGCCTGTATTTCCTGATGTAATTTTCTTCAAGTATGAGGTGTGAAACTAAGTTGTGCTTCGTTTTGAATTGAGCCTTCCGAACTCCTATATTTTTCGTGTTTTCTTTCTTCCGTGTGAAAATTCCGTATCACGGACAGCCGAATGATTGATTTTCGCCAATCCGTCTAATACGCTCTTATGCGGATAAATGTTACAAGGTTTTCTGCGGAATTTTGGATGAAACGTACATTTCGAAAATTCGGGAAATGAGCGGAAGTGTGACCTGAAGGCGACGGAAAGTGTATCCTCGTACTTCTCGTGAATAAATCAGATTATTTTTGGTAATCATTGGAAAGGGATTTGCGAAAGGTTCTGAAAGAATTCGTAAGATTTCCTCGTTGCTTTCCAGATGAGTTGGTGGGATTTTTCAACATTGAAGTTGTCTCATCTGCGTCTAGATTTTAAACGAACATTTGGAAATGTTTTAGCACCCAAGGAGTCGTGAGAATTACTGTATCACCTCGTGTGCGTTTATTATTTCTCAAGGTGATTCGTTTCCGTCCTATTTTCTCAAAATATTCAGAAGTATTCGATTCAAATTTGCGGAGATTCTCTGAAGTGTGGTTTGGAAATCGGAAGTACGGATACGTTTTTGTCGCTGCTGTGCACTTGAAATAATTTCGTGAAGTCGGCAAAGATCTGTAACATGTATGTGCCGATGCATTTACATATTTTCTGCGATGAGGAATCCAGTTGATTAATTTTCGTTCATTTGTCGGCTATTTATTCATCCCTTTTCTTTCGCATTGAATGTTTTTCGGTCGAATGAGTACATGAGCTGATCCGAAATTTTTTGATCAATCATCCGAAGAATTTCTGTATGTTCCGTGAAACTCAGGAAAATATTCGTGAATCCGTACAAGTTTGTCGTCGTGGCCGAAAAATGTATGAAATTAATTATACAAGTGCGACGCGGAAGTAATCTTCAGCCGTTTTTATTAAGATATGATTCAAAGTTTCGAATTGTGTTGAAAGTGGAGGTGAGACATGATTCAAGTTGGGCAAGGATTCTGCTTTCGTTGATGATGAGATGCCTGCTCAGTGATGTGGAATTCCAGACGTGAATATTTCATCACTGTCCAGTTTTCAATAAGTTGATGAAATCTTAATTTCAAAAAATCTACTGATGCATATTTTTCAAACGTTATAAATGAAATCGTTTAATGTTAGGAGCATTCAGTGGAATATGTATGAACAGGAATGGAATAAGGATGTTCATTCATGAAATTGTTGCGAATTTGTTTGTTGATTAGGTGACTGGAGGACAGCAGCCGCCTGGGATCGGTTCATCCAGCGGTGGGGGTTCTTCGGATCTCGGTTCCCGACTCGATGTGGGTTCGCCGTCGCAGAGCTTCGTCGGTCCTTCGTCTTCCGTAAGTCTCAGCTCTTTTGGCACATCGTGACTTCATTATTGGCTTGACGAGGTGTGATTAAAAATTACTGTATGGCGATTTTTGGATCGCCAGAATACCCCCCACAAATATACTGTATATAAATTTTTTTTTTTTCGAATCGCGAAATTCTCATGCTGCTCACGGGGGGCGTGGAAAGTTTAAACGTGTTCGGTACTTTCAGTTGGTTTTGGAGAAAACTTTTTTTTTTCATTTATGTTGTCCTTCCAGTGATCGGATGAAAGTTCGCCGTAAAATAAAACCAATTTTTTGATTGTTGACTGGCTATAGTCAAAAAGTCAATCTTTCCACCATTAACCGAAGTCGATGTTGAAAGCATAAATATTGCATTGATCTTTTGAAGTAAAAAAGACGAAGTAGGAAAGGGTCACTTGGCTGAATCTGTTGAAAGAATGTTTCTTCAAGAATTAACACTCCTTCAAGTTCATGCAGTGATTAAGATATTCGCATTTAGGCCATTTGTGCGGTCAATACTCGAAGACAGCCTAGAGCTTTCCCATCATTGTTTCACTTCTCACCCAGGACATGTAAGACAGGAAGCACTTCTTTTGTGTTGACATTTTTGCAAGTTGCAAAAGTTTCCCACATTTCTAGATTCTAGTGGCCTGTTTCAACTATTTTTTCCTGAAATCGCTGATTCAATTCCGGGTACGGCACCCACACACTCGCCTTTTATTCTCTAATTTTCCGATGACCGCTCGTATCGTGTGTTTGTTCTCGTAATGTACTATTGATCTGATGAGATTGTTGTACATTCGTTGTTGTGTATGAAGGCGAGCTCGGTGGTGAGTAGTACAGGGAGCGGGGAGACGCGGATTCCGCCGACAGTGGCCATAAACCCACTGGGTCCGGGCACGTTGAGTAAAGACCACGTGTCGCAGTTGAAGCATCTCGACACCTCGCTCTACCGACTGCCGATCCAGGCTGACAGCGAGCGAACGAGGATGGTGCCGCGGTCTCCGGTTTCCGGGGTGCCGCCATTCTATCCCCAAGTAAGGTTCCGGAAGCTTGCTCATCGTTGATTGCATATTCTAATCTAAATGAACTCATTATAGTCTTATTGTCTTGTCCTGAACGAACGAAATCATGTTTGCGATAAAAGCCTCTTTTGTTTTTCTCTAGGAAGTCGTTTTCTCAGTTGATTTTTTGTGTTCGGAAGAGGGTGAAGTCTTCGCGCTGTTGTTCATTTTACTGCATGTCTGAGATGTATTCAATCATTTCCGACTCTTTCGCTGAAATGTTTGCTAAACGGTTCAGTATTGAAGCATTCGGCACATTTCTTGAGGAAATTGTCTCTTTAATCGTCGAAAAATAAGTGTAATGGGGGATGAAATTCGTACTCCTCTAGAAAAGAATCAAAATAACCATGACATGCGTGAATCATGTATCTTTTTGTTTGTGTTTTTGGTTTAATTAGAGACCTTTCGCAGAAATTTGAATCTTGTGGGTGGGCTATCAAAGACAAAATTAATTGGCAGGAGCATATTTGAGTTGACGATAATTTTGGCGTTTTGACGGAATTTTCAAGGCTTTTATCGTAGGAAATGTTTGTTCTTCAAAATAAATTGGTGGTTGCCGAGGGTGGCGGCGTATCAGGGGGTATCCTAACGGGGTTTTACTGCATGTGCACTAGTTATTTTTTATGCGTAAGACTTGATATGTGTGCATTGCTTGTGATGATTCCGAGATCAGTTTATTTTTAAGTGTCGTGGTCAATTCAAGCTTTTTTTTTTTCCATACTCTGCGAAAATGTTCATTGTCTAGCTGAGTATCCTCATGTCACATGAGATCGTTCAGGTTCTATGTTCTTGTTTTTCATTGTACAAAATTGAAAATTCGGTAGGATTCTATTGATGTTCTTGCGGTTGTAACTACTGTATGTGGTTGAATGCGAAAGTACGGCATCATGATCAGAACTCGGAGGTTAACGTGAGCCTCTTTCGCAGATGGTCCCGGCCGGGTGTGATACGATGGAATTCTTCTCAAGATTATCCACGGAGACTTTGTTTTTCATTTTCTACTACATGGAAGGGACGAAGGCCCAATATCTCGCAGCCAAGGCACTCAAGAAGCAAAGTTGGCGCTTTCACACGCGATACCTCATGTGGTTTCAGCGACACGAGGAGCCGAAGATGATCACAGACGAATATGAGCAGGTAAACCGTCCGGATCATTTGCCGAAAGATCAATCTTGACCTGCATGTATTGAGAACCTTCTTCAAAATCAAGCAACAAAAAAAGAAATTGGTTCTCCTCACTTGGACTTTCCGATCTTCCTTGAAGGAACGTCGAAAAAGTGTGGCCCAATTTACAAACTTAGAAAAAAATTTACTAACTTGACGAAACGACGCAAAATTTGAGCGACACTTTCATGATTGAATAAATTATGCAGATAGGAACTTCGGTCGTTGAAGTGAAGTAAGCAAAGAATGTACTCAATTTGAACTCATGCTCGCAGTCCTGAGAGTGGTTTTTCATACGTCTATCCTTTCATACTTCGCGAAATTCAGGATCGATGTAGCCTAAAGTGTCAGTAAGATGGGACGAGCAAAAGTCGGGCGATACATTTGTGTATTCGATTTTTGTTATAATTTTGGCACTTTTCCTGTCTCATCATAGATTTCGAAAGCTTGTGCATTCCTGCATTGCGTTGAGGAAAATATCGAGGTATTACCGGCTTTTTTTTCCTTTTTTCAAGGGGGCTTACATCTACTTCGACTTCGAGAAGTGGAGCCAGCGCAAAAAGGAGGGTTTCACGTTTGAGTACCGATACCTTGAGGACCGGGACCTGAACTGATGATCCTCTGGCACGAAAAGGAAAAAAAAATCTGGAGGAACGGGGAAGAAAACTAGAGCTGCGATGCCGTTTGTTCACGCTGCCTCACGGGAAAAAAAAATTCTTCTTGCAAAAAAAAAAAAGGAAAGGAAAACCTGAAATTGCTGTCCCCCCGTTCTTTAATTTTCCTCTGATTCCTTCATCTTCTTCGTTGTCTCTTCCTCCGGCGACGGAGGAAAAAGTGTAGAAAAAGAAATTTAAAAGAATAAAAGAAAAGATGAATCATCCAGGAAGAGAAAAAGAATCCCCGCATTTCCGTCTCTCGCGCTCGTTGTCCGTTTCGCAGGCAGACGGGTGTTTTCCCCTTCTCCGTTTTGTTCTCCCGATGTTCGTCTCGAGAAGAAAGAAGCGTTTTGACGTCTCTTGGTGTCGATTAAACATGCGTACTTGTGTCGATTCCGTCGATGAGGAGGAGCCCGGGGGTTGCTTGTGTTCCGCAACTTGTCGATTCCGCGCGCGCTTCCGGGTCTCCGCAGCAATTGTTTTGTTTCTTCTCATCGCGCATTCGTAACTGTGAAAGGGTAGAGGGTAGGGAAACGAGAAAAAAAGAAAAGCCGTCGAGGAGCCGGCGAGACGTAGATAAGCTCTGAACAAAAAAAAAGAAAGAATTTGAGTGGATTATGGAGAGAAATTTTAAGAAAAAAGAAGCCTCTTGCGGATAAACGATCTGGTTCTGGAAACAAAAGCGGTCGCCTTGACTCGGAATGGACGGCTGTGGTGACGAACCGGTGGTGGTGATGCTGCTCGGTAGATCCCAGGTGTTCGTGACTGCTGCATCTTGTTACCTGTCGAAAAAGAGAAAAACAGTCATATAATCACCCCGAATCGTTAATAAATTTGCGATCAGTGAGAATAAAAGACACGTAACCTTTGTGATGCTGGCCCCCAAACCCCTTGTAAGAGTGACATTGTCCAGAAGAAAAATGTATTTCACACCAATACCCCCCGAGAGAACACCCAAGATTGAATTCTCGAACCAAAGATCAAATTGAATCAGGGTGCCTTGGAGCTACCATTATCTACATGAAGATTATAGATACCTTTATCTGCAAAATGAAATATCTGGTAATTCAGAACATTTTTTATATCTGCAGTTGAACAATATTCCAAAAATCTGCATCTGGACATCACTTGCTGTAATACTTGTAGACTCTCTCCACAACAAGATTGAGGGGATCAGGCAAAAAGTTTGTTTTGGAGGGCCTGTATGGTCCTAAAGGAAAATTTGCTTCAGGGAATTGTCTACCTGTACATTATAAACACTGAGAACATTGGAGTGGCTGCAGTCAGAACCAAAGTACAGCACTGGTAGGAATGCACTTAACTAACAAGCATTTCCTCATATTTTTGGCAAATTCTAAAGAATGGGAGCTTATTTTTGTGCATCTTGGTCGGCTTCTACGATTACTAATTCTGTAGCATTCACTCAACCTCTTCTAAGGTGAAGTGTCAGCTTTTAAGAAACTTCAGTTAGCTGATGAATGATAAACTTGGATTGGAATTCATCAGTGCATGCTTGATGAATGCATGAATATGCATGCAATCTTCCTAATTTAGTTTGCCATGCTTGAGATGATTTCAGTTATCTAAAGAAAAGCATGTTTTCTTTTCAGAAATGTTGGTTATTGACTTGCCTCGACATTTCTGAGCTTTATGACAAGTACAGTACTGTACATGGGTAATGCACACATTGAAATCATGGTTGAGGTTTTCTCTAAGTTAATTATAGCAAATGCAGGTGGATTTTATAAGACATTCAAGGGTGGGAATAATGTCAAATCGTTTAATATCAAGGAAGAATGGAATGGGACCCAAAACAATTAGTCAAGAGAATGGTGAAGATTTTTTGAGTCCACCCGGATTTATGTAGAAAATTAAATGCTGTACTGTATTGAGCTTGACTCATATAATGATGTTTAAAAGGCAAGGGAGCGTTTACACTGTAAGTATGATCTACTCCTAGAATTTTGTTAAGTTCAATTACAAATATTGTCGTGCACCAAACATTACACACGCTAATTTATACAAATGTATTCGTATACAATATAGTACTGTACAGTATAGTAACACAGACGCGCACTGTGATGTTTATGTGACGGCTCTACAGTGTTAGACGTGAGTGCCCAGTGTATCTATTTCAATGAGAACAATCCCATGTGGTGATCAGTGCTGTGCTCTGATGTTTTCGCGATGTTATTCTAAAGGAAATGCCCAACTTGGAAAGAAAGTAACGATGATAAGTGAACATAAGTACACTAGTGCTTACATTTCAAGGATTACCTTCGTAGCGACAGATTATGGATAGCGAATGTAGAAGGCCATGTTAGATTTTGATCATGAGATTTGTATAATACTTTTTCAGTGTGCACGATTTGGGGGAACAATGAAGTGATGTATATCCTTCGTAAACCAGCATCTCCTCAGTATGGTGTTCATCTTTTCTACAATATCTGTCATATTTAATGACGAGTACGAGGGAAATCTCAAGCTGGTCATTATGGACGAGTGATTATGGATGTACTGTACATGGATTCCATGTAGCTGTGTCCAAGTGTGCTTCTCGATTAGTCGTCCGTCCGTTCGTTCGTCCTTACGTGTGTCCTAAATTGTGTTTTCGTTGATATGGAAGTCAGGGAAATGAAATTTTTTTACGGCGAATGAGATAATGGTGCGCGCACGAGGATACTCGGGTATCTGATTCATTTGGTTTCGTCGTGTGGATCTGGGCAGTCAGCAAGTGCCGTGTAATGACGATTTTGCCCAAGAAAGATCACTCTTCATCGAAGAACAACGATGGAACCCATGCGGTCGTCGATCGAGCTCATCATGGACCAGTGGTCCATATGCAGGTAAGATTTACTTGAGAATTGCGATGTGTAGGTCATTAATTCACGATTCAAGACATTTTTTTTCAACGGTTTTCCGTGTGTTGTTTCATAAGATCTGCGAGGAAAGAAATCGTAACGCCTTACAATGTAAATTCCTCTAGGTTCAACGAAGAGAAAACGGTCGCATGTACGTAGCACAAAGTGGCGCCGCTTGTTGGGAGTCGCTCGAAGACAAGCGTGCGGGAGTTCATGACGCCGACGTCGTTGATGGACCCTCTCATGTCAAACGCCGCCACAGAGACGCTCCGTCGCACATGAAACAACGCATCGGCCCAGTGTCTGGCGCTTGTGGCGGTCCTAGTTGTTCCCAAAGTTCCGACGACGTTGCTATCGCGGGACCGTCTGGATTCAACCCGAAACCCAAGCAGAAATCGCTCACTGGGAAGCCCGTTTGTGATGACTCGGATGGAGATGGAGAAGCGTTCAACAGTGACGATGAGTACGAACGAATACAAGGCGAAGAGCTCACTGAAGATGCGTGGCAAGAACGAGAGAAGCTCTTCGAGAAGTTGTTGAAGAAAAAGAAGCTGGTGATCAAACAAACGGAGCAAGACGGGGCTTGTTTATTCCGAGCCGTCGCTGTGCACATCTACGGCGATCAAGAAATGCACGGCGTTGTTCGAAACCATTGCATGGATTACATTGTAAGTATTGTGTTTGTGTTCCTTCTAATTCTTCTGCGACTAATCGCCTCTTAATGATTAATAATTCCCCCTTGCGGACAGGCAAAAAATGCAGATTTTTTCTCGGGATACGTGACGGAAGACTTCGAATCCTATGTGGCTCGCAAACGATTGAACTGGGTCCATGGAAACAATATCGAAATTCAGGCATTAAGTGAAATGTACAACCGTCCGATCGAAGTTTACAGCTACAGTTCAGAACCGATCAACACGTTTCATGGAGAGCAAGTGACTGACAACCCTCCTATTCGTCTCTCGTATCACCGCAACGTTCACTACAATGCTATCGTAGATCCTTGGGCTCCTACGGTGGGCATCGGACTTGGGTTGCCCGAGTACAAACCCGGCGCAGCGGAGAAGAGTTTGGTTCATGATGCCTTACATCAGTCGGAGACTACAGCTCTCGAACAGGTACGGATCTAACCTTGCATGTGCGATCTTCTTAAATTCCTAGTTATTGTCCTGAGGCATGTTCAAAAGGGTTTGGACCGTTTGGTCCCGCTCGGGATTGAGTCGAGTATTTTTTCTCGTATCTGCGTGAAATTTTTCTGAAAATTGCGTAGATGTCGCTCACCGACGTGTAAATTGTATAAGCTTTTTTATAGATTCGGAATGTCTACTTCATAGTCATTACTTCTAAGTCATTGCTGTGAATGAAATATCTATGCAAGCTTCATGAATCGTAGATAACTCGTGGAATTTGACAGACTTCCATGCAATTGTCGAGAGTTCACGCTTTCTTCCGATCCAAAATGACATACAAATCTTTCCTCAATATTAAAATTCGTGAAGATTCGCCAGTGCGTGAGTAGCCCTTTTCGGACTTGTTTTTTTTTGTAATCTACTTTGAAGGTGGCTGCCTTCAGAGAGAAAATCGTTCCAGAGAGCCTATCGAGCAATAATCGTTTTCGAGTTCATGAAAACTGGAAGCTAAGGGTATGTTATGTTTGATATTATTTGCCATACTTGTTCGTCTCTAGGCCATGCTGGAAGACAAGCTGAAGGCAACTGACTGGGAAGCGACGGACGAGGCGATTGAGGAGCAGGTTGCCCGAGAAAGTTATTTGCAGTGGTTGAAGGACAACGAGCATCGGAGAGAAAGTGCGAGCAAACAAGCTGCTGCAGCTGCTGGACGATCGGCTGCAGCCGTCGCTGCATCCAGAGCCGTAGGGCTGTCGTCGCCGAAGCCCGGAACAAGTTCGAGGTTGAGCCCGGATGCGAGGCAAACCCCGGAAGCAGCAGCAGCCTCTGTTTCTAATCCCTCGCCGAAAACCCGCAAGTCGGATGGATTCGACGTGGAGGAAACCGCCTCATTTCTCAACAATCTTCCGCCGGAAATGTTCGGTTAGTTCGCCGAGTGTTTGTGTGTGTGTGTTATTTTTATGACCGATTTTTAATCATCGCTTAATTCAGAAATTATATTTCTTTGCTTGCTTGGAATGAATTCTTTGCAGAAAAACTGTCGAGGTTTTACTCAATGTTGAATTCTGATGACAGCGTTCGTCGCAAGAACGTACGTTACTTTCAGACGAAAAAATTAGCCCACGAAGTCTGTTTTCGCGTGAAACTTTTCATGATCCAAAACTTTTCATGATTTTCACCTTCGCTTCTCAAGTGTCCGTCAGACGAAGTTGTCGAGATAACTTCTGTCCTGTTCTTCAGTTTTTTCAAGTACTGTAGTTACTTGATAGTAAATCGACTTCCAATTTTACTTTCTATTTTGGCTTATGCAGGATTCGCGGGTTGGATTTTGAGTGATCGGATGATACATTTTTCAGCAAGAGAATTTTACTTCGGAATAAATATGTATTCATAGCCTTTATTGTACATGCATTGTACGTTCTCACAGTTGATGCTGGTCAAATTATTCGTCGAAGTATGGCTTACGTTTTTATTTAAAACGCCTCAGTGTATCTACTCTTTCCTCTCTTGGGCTGGCTCAGCGTGGGTCGTCGATAAATGAAGCGACTAGATTCATTTACTTTTTAAATAGAAAATCCCTTGTATTACGTTATCTTTTGTTGAGTTATTTCATTTTAATGAAAATTCCATGTTCTTTTGTGTGTTGCATGAATAGCTGATGTAATCGATGCGTCATTTAGGGAATCTCTGCTCTACTGTATTATCTTGTGAGGGGTACTGCTATACTGTGACGCCAAGATGGGTCGAGTCAGTAAATTGATGAATGACGGGATTTGTCATTAATGACCAGCAGTATAAAGAATTTTTCGAGGAGGAATTTTCAATTTCAGAGGTGCCCCGATGAGATTTTTGGATGTAATTTGTCTTGTATCGTGTCCCTATGTCGTTTTCTCATTGACTTCGAGGGGAGTACATTAAATGATTCTTCCAGTTCATCAAACGTATTAAAAAAGTCTCCTAAAAATTTATTACATTTGTTTCTTATCAACTTCAAGATGTATAAGATAACTGATCGGAAGAAAATCGCGAAAAATCTAATTTTTTGGCATGAAAATGAGGTCAAAAAGAATTATTAACAAGCACAAGTTTTTTTATAATGTCTACAGATGATGGGAAGACCCCTGAAAAAAGATTCACGAAATAAGACAGTTTTGCATTATAAATCAGAGGGAATTTATGTGGAAATTCATTTTGTTTTGTGAATATTACGGAATGGTTACTGTAGCTCAACTTGTTCAAAAGAGGTCGAATTATTTTTCGTTTTTATATAAATGTCCGTATGTCGAAATATGGTCCAGAGGTCGGGGTATATTTTCCAGTTTTAACGTGTCAGGTGTCTCCAAGCCAACTCATGTCAAGGCCCTACTATTCCATCAAAACTGCAAGAAAGAAAACGGAATGGTTTACGACTGTATTAATTTTTTCTCAGGAGAGAACGCGTGTTCTGGCTAATATCCATGTGAGGGATACATTATTGAATACTATAATCTCATTATTTTCGAATGTGATGATATTTTCCGAGAATAAGAGATCGAAGATGCGTTTTGTGTTCCAGGTTTGTCTGATTTCGAGGACAACGATTCAATTTTGGCTCGAGTACTCGCCGCCTCGCAAGAGGAGTACCTCAATTCCCTGAAGCTGAAGAAGAAGGATCCGAACCCGGGTTCGCCTTCGGAGCTGCGCGAGGAAGACGACGACGAGGATGAAGACGGTGGGCCGTCGGGGAACCAAGACAAAGCCTGCGGTTACCGCTATGCTAGCTAGCTAGCTGATGAAATCATGCCCAGTTTTTCAAAAATCCCTTCTTGTCCTGTGAGTTTCAGGGATGTGTCTCTGCGAGCCGCTGTTCCCTTCTGGAAAAAGCTTACTTTTTATTCCCCCGCGTTTTCGTTTTTTCTCTTTCGTTTTTTTCAAATTTTTTTTTTTGCAAGTGGCGTTGCTTTAAACGAAATTTCTTGTCGAGTTCGTGATTGCGAGAAGAAGAAGAAAATCTCTCCTTTTTTGCTTGGCGAGAAACTAAAGTCGGAAATGGAAAAAAGCGTAGGAAGAGACGAAGTGTCACGAGTATAGACAGGAATCACCAAGTGTGGCCTTGGGGTCGTGGGATTGAAAACGGCGTGAGTGATTTTTTTAAATTGTTCAACCCATGGTTTTGGGGTGTTTTGAGGAATATTACAGGAATTTTTGGTGGTTTTTTTTCCTCATTGCTATATTGTGAACGATTCATTTTTTCTTATGTGCTATGATGCGGCTTTGCTGCGTACGCAAATCTTAAAAAGTATTCGAAAAAGGCGTTCAACGACGTTCAGCTGCTTCTCTCTAATTCGATTTTTTTTTTCGCCGGATTCGTGGCTTAAAAATAGGCCAAATTTTAGAACGAAAGCTCGATTTGAATGAGTACAGTTGAATTCACGCAATCATTTTGCTTTGCTTGGTTAATACATGCGAATGAATAATTTTGAGCCATTAATATTTCCTTGAGAATATCTCGGTCGACTCGTAGTTTTCGCGCAATTTTGCACCGAGCCGAGTTAATGTCGGTTTTCGCATTTTTGCTTTCTTGAAGTCTCTCACCTTCGCGTCAAAGGCGGACAATTTGGAGAGAGCCAAGGTTATGGATATTGAATTGCTTGTTTGTTTGTTTTTTTCTTCTTGGAAATTCGTGTTGTTCTCCGATGAGCAATAATCTCGATATTTCCTCAACACTTCCGCAGAATTGTTGGAATGCTTGGGAAGAATTTCGCTACCTCTAGTCGCCAGGCATTGTGGGACTCTCGCAAAAATCGGTTTACTTGTGCGAGCTGGGAAGATCATTCTTCTGCGGTCTTGAAAAACGAAAAGGAAACTTTTTTTTTTAATTTTATCTCTCGCCATGCTAGCCCTTATTTTGGACAAGGATGTCGTGCGAGAGATTTTAAGAATTGTTTTTGACTCGGTTTGAAATTGGTTGTGTGAGGTGCAAGACATGCGTAATAGTGCTCTGTAAAATGAATAGAGAATGCCGAGGAATATAACGGTTACGGATTATGTTTTTTTTTCTTCGAGTGTTCTCATTTCTTGGGTTGAAATTTTCAACTATGTTGGAATGCTGTTGATATATCGGCAGGGGAGTTTTGCTGACACAATATTTTTGTCACGAAATGTCGAGTTTCGTGAAGCCGAGACTTGGACTATTTCTGCTCCGGATAATTACAGTTCAACTTACTCTGTTGAGTTTTGAAGGTTTCCAGCTGGGGAAATGAGCATTTTTGTTTGAAGAGAAAATTAATTTTGTGAAATTGAAGTTGCTGGTGATATTCTAGGCATTCAATTGGCTTTGAAATGAGTTGACAGGATGCTGAACTTTCACGCACTGGTTCATTGGCCCGATTAGTCTATTACCTCCTTTCAAAACACATTAATTATCAAATTCCTCTTATCTTCTCTGTGTTACTAAAATATTAACCGAAAGTCCCCTAGAAAATTTGAATTATAGGGGATTTGAGGAAAGAAGCCTTCAAGTTACGAAAATTTTTTTCAATTGAATTCAGGCGGGAACTTGAAAAAAAATCAAATGATAGGAGGTATTCGATGGAGGGAATTTTGGTTCAATGCTATTGTGAAAATAGATATCATTCTTTCAGGATATGTGAATTTTGAAGTTTTCGAGGTATAAAAGAAAACAAAACGGAATAAAATCATGATTATACTGTAGTATCATTTCTCACAAGCACTTCACTGTGTCTGTCAAGTGAAAATTTCTTGGTTCACCAAGTCCAGAGAAATGTAAATTGCGTTCAAATTCCTCAAGATCATGACGACCTTGGCACCGATAACTGCCCGAAAAATCCCCGGCATCCTCGCAGAACTCTGCAAATTGCAAAAATACTCGTCGTCGGGGACGACATTTATTTTTTATATATAAATTTTTTTTTCTCTCGGTCACGGTCAATCAATCACTTTCGGAATGGCTGCTCTTCTCAATAATTCATTCGCGGAATGTCATCCGAATTCTTTCGCAAGGCAGGATGGAAAAATTGCTGGTCATCAAGCAATGGGCGGACCGCGCGGAAAACATTTCTGCTTCGCAGGACATCATCAATCAATCGACATCAATGCTGGTGACTTCGTTGGGAGAAATTCGAATCTCGACGAGCACACCTGCGGAAAATACAGCCAGTGATGAAGCCGCGTGTGTCGACTCGTCAGCGCGATGAGTTGAATGTATCTTTTGAAGTATTGTTACTTGATGTATCATATAAATACATATAGATCAAGTTTCTTCTTATTATTGGCAGCATCAATTTGAGTGATCGCAGTATTAATGTATATATACAGTATATACTGCATAAGCAACACATTTTTTTGAAGAAATGTATGTTATATACGAGGGTTGTCCCACTTGGGCGCGACCTAGCCTTGGTCCATTCTAGAGTATAGGTATGACAGTAAACAAAAATCATGATGTCCTGAGGTTCTGCAAGTTGTTTTCAGAATAAAAAAAATAATTAATTTATACCGCGTGATGATAATACTGCAAATGGAAACTTTCCAGTCACGACCAGAGTTCTCCTCCGTTATCACATTTGGTTTGAAAAAAACTTTTCAGGCCAGCTAAAAAAAAAATTGAGCCTATTTTGTGTTGAGCTTATAATGAGTTGATGGGATGCTGAATGTGGAGGCAAGGGCTCATTTGCCCAAAAAGTATCTTACTTATTTTCCAAACAAATCATTTCCATCTGTTTTCTCTTTCCTGAGTAAATAAAATACAGTAATAGAGTAATAGCCAAAGGGCCTCAAGCAGAAAAATTTCGTTATGGAGGCTTGAAATAATCAAGAGTGAGCCTCTGAATCATGGGGGTTTCTAAATGTATTACTGTATAAACATGTTTTCCCGTCCTGCCTCAATAATTATAATAATCATCAAAATCCTACCAGAAAACTACGGTTCAAAGTTTGGCAAGATTGAGTCCTTCAATTTGTTATATATACAGTACAGTCAACCCCCGTCTAACAGACTTGATTCGTGCAAGGGACAAGTCTGTTACACAAAAAGTCCTTTACACGAATTCAATTACATGAAAATAGAAAATTTCAATTTTCAACACTAATTTTAAACCAAAAGAAGTCTGTTTGAGAGGAAAAACTGCTTGCAGAGCTGGTCTGTTTGGCAAAAATCCCTTACACAAGAGGTCTGTTAGGTGGGGGGCCACTGTATTTCCTCTTGGAAATCGGTTGTGTATTCGTGATACATGCCCTATATAAAATTTGCAAGATTTGAATCCATATATATATATATATATATATAGAATTCGCCAAAGAACCATGAGTTATATTCTTGCTGATGTGAAGCAGGAAGTGTTTTCCTTGCGGAAAGTTAGCAGGCTTCGATTATACCACTTGCACATCATCCCATCAAACGGTCCCAGCAGCAGGCGCAGAAGTGGATGAGCGAAAGAATTTGCAAATCTAATTTAATATGCAAAGAAATCGTCTCGGCAATCACCAATAAAGTGATAACGAGCTCACCTGCGCAGATCAAAGAGCAGCAATGGGATGTCAATCACTCTGTCAGTACAATAAGTGCTTCTGATGCAAAGTGCAGCCGTCAATTCTTATATATATGCACCACTATTCCAAGGTTAAATCTGGTACGCAGATGAGCGAAAATGTAAATATGATTCTTATATATATATATACTGTAGTCCCAGCATGCTTGAGAGGAATGAGAATGAATACATATATATAGTGCTCAAATAATAATCAAATACGAGCGAAAACCAATGCGGAAATGGATCCAGACGTTTATAAGTTGCACTTCAGTTGAAATTGACATGCATTTTTCTACCTGCTTGCTGCTGCTCATTTTGAAAAAGGGAGACTCGATCGAACTCTTGCTAATTATTCTTTCGCAATATTTGAAAGCTTATGCGTATTTTGATTGCTTAGTATGAGTGCTGACCATAATAATCCAGTGAATTTGGTGAAATTATCTTGAATGAAGAGTTCTGCTTAATTCTGGTGCTGTCAGTTCTTTCAAATTATTATTTATAATGAATCTTTCTTGAGTTCGTGATATTGATCATATGGAATATAAAATATATTCTTTTAGGATTTCTTCTGAAGTTTTTAACTTTTAATTATCGTTGTCACAGTACGTCATATATGTATGTATTCTCGACGCAACGAAAATATGCAGTTGGTTTATTTCTGTGAAGAGAAATCATTGCGTCATCAAAATAATTGACACATGTAATTCGTTTCTCGATGGACATTTTTATGCCCACAATTTCAAGTCCACTTTTATCAAGTACATCAGTAATTAATTTTCCGTCGTCGGTTTAGATTCAAAAAAGTTGCCTGGGTCATGATGAGGCATGGATATACGTGTTACAAGAATTTCTTTATTGCTTGGATTCTCAACTTTTAATTTAATTTCAATTTGTATAAGGTATAGCACTTATAAAACAGAAAAATACTAATTTGTAGAGAAGCCCTCATTTTTTCTGCAGGCTTGTTTTTCGCGAATAAAACGGTCACTTGCGGGAACAGTATTCATGAGATCCTCTGTGGTTCTGCCAGGTTCGCTGAACTTAGTTCACCTGTCTTGTTATTTTTTTATATATTCGCTATCTTGGCGATACAGAGAATAATACACCGCATGTAATTACGGCTAATATTTCGACAAGTGCCCTGGAAAAAAAGCTACTTTAGTTTACTTGTTTTTGTTTGCGAAAACCTGGAAAAAGACTGGCACTGTTTCTGGCTTCCCCCAGAATTCTGTCGCCTCTGCAGTAAATTGGTAGAATTTTTACACCTCGGGATTGATTTTTTTTTCTTTCTTCATTTTTCAATATACAGGACAGTATACTGTATTTTTCTTCGAGGGAAAATTTATTGTGTAACTAAGACACGGTTTAGGGAAAATTTAGTCATCAGTTCTGTGAATTCCGGAATCCCTACAGTACGTTTTAGAGAAATTATAAAACATCATTAAAACTTATGATAAAATTATAATTACTCGTATATCATTAACATTTCAGTGTTCCTTGACGACGCGCGTCTCAAGCTCCTTCATCATAAACAATAATCACACTTTTGAAAGAAAAAAACTATTTCTCACCATCTGATCATGAAATTATTTAGGAAAATACAACAGAATCTCGTCACAACAAATATCATACCGAGCCAAGAATAGATGAAAACGAATTCTTTATTTAGGTACCTGTCGAATAATTTCATCAATGTTATTTGAGTTCGCTTATACAACAATTTTTTTTATTTATAACAAAGCTATTTTATTGGTCCCAACGATGGCTTTATTGCAACGAGATTTTACTGTATCAGAAAAATCGCGGAAATAAAACTGAGGTTTTCAGGTGATGCTTACACATGAAAAAGAAACATTTGAAGCACATTTCCCAAACCATTTTTCGCAAAACTTTCTCATGCCCAATGATGCCTAAAACTCATTATTGCACTTATTGTGCAGCAACTTTGCACGACATTCTCACCGCAAAAAGGGGTGGGAAAAGGTGGCTTGATTTTTGGCGAGATACGTGATTACGTCAGAAGCAATTACGGCACGAGGGTAAATTACTTTTTTTTCGAGAGAGATTTACTGACGAAAGTTAATTAATTGCTTTCCATTACATGTGTACTTCGAAAACTACTATCGGAAGCTCCACGCTCGTGATCTAAGTAAAAGAGAGGTAATGAATAACAACTTGCAGTGAAAAATATTTAAAACTTAAGGACAATTAAGAGTTTTCACCTTCTGAGCTGTCACCGAATTTTCCCGATTATTTTCTGCGATAACATTAGTTACTATAGACTATAGAGCTACACTTGATTCGCTTTTGATTGATTGCGATTGATCAATTCATGTCATCAAAATGTTATCAGCAACAATATAAATAATGCCCCTGCTGAGCTTGAAGATTTTCTAAAATGTCATTATATTGGAAGATCGTGATTCGCTCAGTGCAGTATTTTTAAACACCCGGGATACTTTTAACATTATGACATTAATTAATAAACACTAATTTATCAGACTTTC